CAGGAAACGCAACCCGATCTCAAAATATACAGTTAACCTTGGCCGTATAAGTAACCATATAATCTAACTAAAAAGGTTAAAAAATAAAGAACAATGATGGATGAACAAATTCAATTTAACATGTTCGGTGGATACAAAACCGGCAGCTCATACATAACATACTTATTTTGCATTAAAGAAATTCCATCAACTGTTCCCTGTACAACAGGGCACTTATCGCTTCGTCCGCTTTTCTCGGGAAAAGTGTTGCTTTTGAATCGATTCTTACACGATATAATGTGATATTTCAAAGGAAAAAACAACAGTAGGATTTATTTCGGAATTGGCAACGCGTGCGCGCGAGAAAACAGAATTCACTAAGCCACGGATATTGGCCGGTTCTCCTATCGGAAATCGAAAAAAAAAAATCCACTCGATAACAATCCTAATTCGATGTGTACGGTTGTATCGCGTGTACTTATTTTCCTGACGTAAAAAAGCTGGTCGTGCGGAAAATACCTTTTTACGCGACAGAACCCGTCAGCCATGTCCTTCGATGAAACTCGTACCGTTTCAAATGACAAATCACGCGTTTGCCCTTTCGCGGATCGCAGCAGGCCCTTGGACCTTGCGGACAACGAGAGGTCACTAAATACAGCTCACTCGTCGACCCGTACTCGCAGCATAAACATTCCAACGAAATACTACTCTAATCTCGTATTTATATACGTAGTCAACACTAGGAATTAATGTACCTCAGTGAACGCTTGGCCGAATAAAATATGACGAGGAAATATCTTTTGTCGAACAACTTCTTGACAAAACATTCATAACAATCGAAACATCACGACATTTATCACACACGCAATACAAAAATTCAATTGAAACCTAAATAATAATCATCGTTCCCATACGTCACATACACGCACACTTTATTCTTGGTCATCGTTCAAATACACCGAGCACCGAACGCACCACGTAACACGTACCGTACACGTAACCGTGGTCGCGGATCTCGAGGGCAGAATAATAAAATAACACTGCGATCGGACAACGGTCAGGCAGCAACGGCGAGGGCGCGAATCACGTGCACGTATGCGTAATATACATTGTATATCGCTTTCGGTGTGCGTACATTCAGCAGTCACGCGTTGCGCAGTGCTTCGCATACCTACGTTACTAAAAACGTACGTCGTTGCTCGAATCGGGGAAGGGTCGAGATTGTTGATGGACAGAAACGACTATTCGTTACTACTGACTATTAGACGGTTTTCATCATGCACTACCGACTAACTATTCGACTAAATTTTGCACAACCAACTAATATAAATAAATCAAACTAGTCGACTAATTCGATTAAAAACTAATCGGATTAATTCGACCGAAATTAATTTAATCGTTTTGTAAATAGACAACTGAACAACAACTGAGCATCTACTACAGAATGCAGAGTACCGAAGCCGAACTACCGACTGATTTTAAGAAATTTAAAATAAGCTTCCTTTGTAGTCGATAATTCGTAGTCCATATAAAGCTAATCAAAATGGTCATACAAAATTTATACCGATAATAACATGCACACTATAATATACAAAAGTCTATTATCGGAGTCAATGTTGTTGCGCTATGAATCTATGTATAATAGTGTTTGACATAGATTATATGAAAATATATTTTTAATACCCTAAAGAAATTCCTTAGTTATCATTCAACTGTCTTAATTTAAATGTATTAAAACAGTTTTTGGTGTACGATTTTTATTATTACTAAAATGAATCCAAAAAATATATATTTAGTTAATGGTTTATCAAATAAAAATTAGCCGAGTAGATAATAAGAATTAGTCGAATAAAATATTAGTCAAATGATTACTATAATGCCTATACTTCCTAGAATAACTAAATTAGTTACACAGTACTAAATCGGTAGAAATTAGTCACATCTGTCCACCGATAGTCGCGATCCACAGACAAAAAGTGGCTTCGATCAGAAATAATTGAACGATTATGTACGAAAAAAAAACAAACTTTTATTCAATAATTAACAGAAAAAAAAAGATTTACATACACGGTAACGTTTCCTTATCGTACCAAGTATACAACCAAAAATGTTATTTATTACATAACAATACATGACCAATAGTTAGGTTTACGTTGGTATTCATTGCAAGGGGTTAGTTTATTTTTTTTTACTTAAGTCGGGGGGGGGGGGGTAGCAATAAAAAGATTGAGGAGCGATGCGTACTGACTAGTCTAAAACGGTACGAATACGTAGGCACACGGAATGTGGAAATAATAATAATAATAAATTGTACTCGAAACACAAAGGCAACAGACAAGTCTCAACTCGTGTTATACACATTCGAACGTTTTGTGAGACTTCGCCTCGAACGTCAAAAAGTAATAAACGTTTTGTCCCAAATCGCACATATACACACGTACGAGGAGGGCTACAACAAATGTGTATATCGACTGCGGGCAAATACACACGCGCACTCGAATCATCATCATATTTCATCAACAAAGAAACCGTGTATTACCTACTCCGTTGTCGGCAGCGATACAAAAAAAAAAAAAAAAATCGATTCCTTATGACAGAAAGTAATTTTAGCGTTTCGCGTATCCACCGCGAGTACCTTATTCGCGAGGCGTAACGCGCACTCGCACGCGTGCGCGAGTTTATATTGGGTATGTACACAAAAATAATATTCTTCGACGTCAAACAGCTCTCGTTAGCGTTTCCGTACAAATGTATGCGTTTCGAATACAAATTATTTACACAAGCGTGTACAATGTATGCGTATGCCTGTGCGTACGTTGTTACGCAGTTGTAAAACCGTTTTCGCGAAAGAAAAAAAAATGAACGGTATTTATTACTGTTTATTTCATGGTAATAATTTATAAAATTACTATATCGTTTTTTTAGAAGGCACTACGCACCTATTCATTTTTCATTTCATGTATCGAACTAATGCGATGCATACAAAATATAAATATTTTAGTTCCTAACAGGGGACGAGTTCGATTTTTCTAATTTTTCAAGAGGTATAATAAACTAAAAACAGAAATATCCCGCTTCTTCTGTAGTAAAAATATTGCTCATGTCACATTTTCTGCAGTAAGCTATATTCTGTATCTACGTGTGTTTGATGATAAAATCGAAGTTGATGATAATATACTAATCTCTTTCCTGCAGTTAGCGATTCATTTACATATTTGACGGACAAAGTGGAATGGCAGCAGACGAGTCGAAATTTTTAGCAAAACTATCAGGCTTCGGAATATAGAATTAAAAAAATGTACTTTCTATTGATAGTTATTTGCCATTTTGGAAAAAAAAAACTTGAATCAATATGGAAATCATTTTTTTCAATAGATCGCAAATCGACTGACCCCATAACCGTAGAAGTAGAATCGATCGGGGGAACGAGTGTAGTTGAAAAAATAACTACATACCGAAAGGGTGTAGATATGACATACTTATTGCTCTTTGTTTCTTTTTTTTTCGCAGTAAACATCACTATTATTCATGTATCATAATGTCTGCATTATTATTACACATTTTCACATTAGTCGGGAATAAAAAATAAAACATTTATTAATTGACTACGTTCCGAATATTTCTTTCGGGCATCCGACATGCTAATAATATAATACTGTTTCCTATAACGTTACGAGAGGAGGGGGAAATACATGGAACGCGACACGGTAAATTCCACACGGCAACATATTAGTTATCTCGGAACGACGTTCGGCACGTGCAGTACATTATTGTTAACGTAACACCTATACGTGGGCAGATACTTAAGGTTTTTTATTTTTATTATTATTAGTTTTAGTTTTTTTTTTCAACCGACGAATAATAATAGGTGGTACATTGCTCGAAACGAAATACAAGCGCACAGATATGTAACAAAAGTACAACAAATTCGATTACCGAAATCGTGTTGGAAAATGGTAATCGATTATTTGTTTTCGAGGCAATGATTAATGAAAGTCCACAATTAAAAGTGGTACACTGTATAGTTATTATTAACGAGCCGAGACGTTGCAATAATTATTGTCTTCGACCGTGAAACGCGTGCAGCTAATCGTCAACCGACGATTGGTAACGCACGATGCCTATTCCTAAACTGCGCGTACTATAATATTTTATTATATTCTTAATGCAGCTGTACAACTATGATATTAGAAGACGGAAATTTCGTTAGAAGCGAGATAATACTGCGAATAATATAATAGTAGTTGTACGTATGAAATATGATTTGGTATGTTCACGTTATGATACTTAAAATATCACGAAACAGTCGACGAGCGATTTGCTGGTGCACATTTTTCGAAATTCTCACGCGTGCACGTCATCGCGTTAGAAAAACAGAATAACGTCATGATATCGATTGGAAACACCGAGACCAATGCGATCCGACTGCGAACGGAAGAAAAAAAACAAACGTGTATCACTTCTATACGCAATAATATAATACTCCACTGTCGAGCGGGATGTGTCGCACGTTGAAAATAATATATCTGGACCAAAGATGAGAAAGAGAGGGTGAGGAGGAGAAAAGTGGAAAAACAACACGTTCACAAAGGCACCGAAGCATAACGCGTATCGAGACGCATGTTGTTATTTGAATTACATAAACTGTACGTAATGTATTTATTTGCATTTCGTCATAAAATCGACTCGCTCACGATATTCGCTAGCCAATAATAGTCGACTCGACTTGATAAGATTGCGGAAACGTGGCACCCTTGCCTTGCACTTTCACTACAGTGCGTGCATTCTTTATTCCGCCCCACGTCCACGACACTACATAACAACTATGATTATCGCTCGTACACGACATATTGTTCTGTATTGTTATCGTACGACTTTGACACGGTCGGTGTTGCGTACCGCCGCGTAAACATGGTATCACGATTCTCTTCCGCAACAGTCTGCACACCATACACAGTTATTGTTGTCTCTATGAACAAGGTTGATGCGTATTGTATAAATAATGGGAAAACATCTTTGCGTACATGATAAATGAATCGTTTAATCAAATAAATAATACGACATCGTATCCATCTGCGTAAACACCTAACCTAACGGCTGAACAGGAAATCGTTGCAGTCGTCGTTTCGGCGTACACGAGGGCAGCGCATAGGAAAAACTAAATTTACGGTTACGTAACACATGTATCATCGTCGCTATAATATACTAAGTATAGTAAATACACAGTGAAATATAAAGTACTCGTATCGTTGGGTACATCACAAGTCTGGAAAATATATTTACCGCGGAACGGTCTTCGAAAACGACTGGCAGCCGGTTTCAAAGGGCAGGCCGTTTGCGCGGTAACTATCACGGCAGTGCAGTACCAATGGTGTGAAAACAACGTTCGAGATTGGCCGAGTCCGTGGGGTTTTGAAATCGATTGCGAAAAAAACGATAAAATACTTTCCAAACCGAATATGACTACTGTATACGTCGCGACCGCGAATCGAAACACTACGTCGTCGCTGTATACGGTAAACATGATAATACAAAAATAATACATAACCTAACATCGAAGACGGAAATAACAATATTATAGCTAATAGGTACGTCGACCGCGCGAACACCATCATCGGTACGTCGTAGTGAACAGCGTATAGACGGTGGTACTCTTCGAAAGCACGTCACAGCGGTTAGCAATGAAATTGAGGTAGTGGGAAGGGGGTAGGGATGAGAAGGAACGATTAAGGGTGGGCAGAGTGTACGTCGACTAGTGCGACGGTGTGTTGAGTAGCTGACTGGCGACAACCAGGGGAAGGGCAAGGGACGATGGCGGCGGAGACGGCATCGCACGCACGACGAGTTGATGGGCGTGTATGTGGTGGTCGTACGCGAACGGAACTGGTAACGATGAACGGCGGACAGCGGTGGCGGCAGTCGTTCTAGTCGCTTGTCAGGTCTTTGAGCTCCGTGTAACCACCGCACAGTTTCTTGCACAGGGCCCGGTCGGTCGCATACATCTGGTACCGTTTCTTGTAAACCGCGAACCTGGACAGACCGAAAACAAAAAGAAACGTCCACCGTTCCGGCATTAGAGTACGATGGAAAGGGACGGGGATTAAAGGGGTTGTACGTGAGCCGGGTGATCGTGAATTCTACCTCGAGCACCGTTTGTACGCAAGATTTAGGCGGGTACGCGTGAATTCCGCACCGACGTAAAAACTATTAGGTACTTACCCAAAACGGCGTCCCAGTCCCATTGTCACCCAGATTTTTTCGCGTTGAATTAATAATAATCGAATCCGGCTTTTCCCACGGGGTCGCATTTGTAATCGAATATTTTCGTTTTATTAAAACAATAGGATATTACGCGAATTGACTTATTACTGTATTTTAAGAGGAACAAACTTTCAAGGGAAGTACGTAGTGTTAATAAAATACTATACATCGATCGTCGAAGCCTCAAAATTGTGACTAACTTTGTTAGTCAAGCAATGTTCGTGTAAATGTTTTACTTAGTCGGAACTGTTATCCATTACGAATATTTTTTTTTCCATCGAGGCAGAATTCACCACATGCGCCTAAATCAGAAGTATAGAAACATTTATAGTGGGATTTATAGAACACATTTTTACAACCTGTTGGAAATTTGCAAACACTTTACGAACTGTATATCTGTGGTTATTTTTAAGTTTTTAATTTTCTCCGCCTTAAGTACTTATTATTCTCGACACCTTCGTAATTGAAAGTGATTTCGAAATGACATTTCCGTCCCTGCTAACAACATATTATCACTGTGGACAATGATAAGTGAATTAAATGATTCATTTCATTTTTTTTTTCATTTTTGACGCATCTAAGTTTCTTTTACTTTGACTCCAAAGTGAAATATTTTTTTTACATATTATATAAGAAACTGTTTACTACATCATGTAAACACCCGATTAAGAATAGTACACCTAAGCGAAAGTTATCTTTAAAGTTCATCTCCCGTGTAGTTGGCATACTAATTATTGAGTTTAAAGTCTTCGGTTGACTAAATGTGAAATATTTTGAAATTTTATATTCATAAAATATTCATATTTTCTTTCAATTAAAAATAAAAGTATCGCAATTTTAAAATAATCCTATCAGCTATTAACGTTAATTTAAACTATTATTATTCGTATAAGTGCTGTTTTATCAAATATGCATGTAATGTATAAAGAACATGGGCAGATATTTTATTGAATTGAATGAATAAATAATTATTAAGACAAATATAACAGTAATAATTTAATTTTGAATAAGGTTTTAATTTTAAAGGGCTAATCCCCCGCCCCTCCCCTCGATTTCCGCCTTTGACAAAGAAAACGAATTTTGGTGTAATGGCGTTCCTTTAAAATTCATTCCTTCATTTATAATCCTGAGACAGGACATATTTATAACTATTCTTAATATACATATGGATGAATGTCAGTTCACTGATCCAAGATTCTAAAATCTCAAATCTATTTATCTAGATTTTACTATTTTTACTCGAATATCCTTTCACATGACTAACAGAAAATTGAAAATAACATAAAAGATTCCGTTCGGTAAACTTTTATTTTTAAAAATTAGTTTTAATCTTAAAGTATTATTTTTGTGAACATTTTTGAATATAACTATAGTAGGCTCAGTTCCGCAAAAACCGGGTGTGCAGAGTGTGCCGTGCACACGAACCCCAAGGCTTACATACATTTGGAGGGCCCCCTAGTTCCAGCTTATAATAAACTACACTTTACAAACACACAATTATTTAATAATATTATATTATTATTTTGTAATATAAAGTAACTTTTTTTAAAATTCAGGTAAGGATGTCATAATATTTTAGAGTAATATAATATTTATTTAACAATAAGTCCATTGAGTATTCGGGTAGACATACAACATACCTACCTAAACTACTTAAATAAATTTACTACATAAATATGTAGTGAAGTATAATATACAACAGTTGTTGGTATTTAATTTTATATATATATATATATCATACACTAACTGATATGAAACGTGTTTTAAAACCTAAAAAATTGATACTTATAAATAAGACGTACAACAAAAATAAATCCTAGGAAAGGGCCTAATATAATTATCGCACACGAGCCTCCTTTTTTGTAGTTGTTGCACTGAGTAGGCTACTAATTTTGTGTTTTAATATATAATTTTAATTGTTTTATTATACGATATATTGTTCCAGTTAATTTAATAGAAGATAAGTTATTAAATATTTAACATTGACCTTCTTTGAAAATCGTGTATCGAATATGATTTATCATTGTCTCCAGACGTTTACAAATAATTCAATTAACATAACGAAGGACAAACTCTAGTGTCTTGCCAGCTTTTTCAAAGTTAAATTAAAAAAAAACACTGATTGAAATACCTATTGATAGTCATTATATTGGAATAAAAACAATTGTTTTATTAATATCAGGATGATGCTTAGACACACTATAAAATTGAATAACTTCGATATATAAGTTTTTATCAACTAAAGCTGCTAACTAAAGGTAATTCGAGTAAAAGTAGTAAAACGGTATATGAAGGAATTCAAGTAATTTTCATGAAAAAACAATAGGAATCAATTATTGTACCACGCAATCTATATAGTTTCAATGCTAGTATCCACGTAAACTATTTTTCATAGGTAGGTAAATTGTACATCCTAAAACGGTTTGTTGACCCATGGCACCAAATTTTAAATTTAAATTAATTATTATTAAATTAATTTTAAAGTATAAATGCTTGGTTAACTCAATAACTTCTTAATGGTTTATTAAATACCTAATACACCCTTTATAAATATTTAACGGATGGTTAAAGTTAGTAACTACGGTAAGTTTAATCCAGAACGTATTTCGGTAAATCCTAAATTTTTCCACTCATACATAATTGATTTAAATCGAACGTGAAATATTTTTAAGTCTTCCGTAAGTGGTATTGATATTATTGGTAGACGAATAAGTCATGTTCTGATTTCGGTAGATAATCGAAAACATTTATTTAGTCCTATGCAACTGGTATTAAAAAATCGCAACGATTCTAAAATAATTTTCGTTTTCTAACGTCTCGTTTAAAATGATATCTGCTAACGCCAGCATACCACTTGTATGCTAGTATACTAGTCACTGTACAACGTATTATCCTAGTATAGTAAATACTACAAGGGGAACGATGGTATGTTGTATGAAATACTTATCAAACTATTAAATGTACAAATAAGATAAATACTATGTATAAATTAATTATTGTTACATTACCTGATTATGACGGCTATGTAGATGTTGTATGCAACGAATGATTTAAGCCTTAATGACTCAAAACGGAAATGGTGCTTTATTCACCAAACAAACTACAAGCATGCGTGAAACTATATCATTAGGTATGAAAATATGCATTGTTATTATTGCATATTTATAGTTATACACATTAGTGAAATAAATGTATTTAAACAAGCGATAGGATTTTAAAATTTCGTAAATACTCTATATAATTTTAAAAACATAATTACTATATATTGTATTGATAAAAATGAAATTAATTACATATAATATACTTGTAAACCGTATAGTAATGAGTTTGTAAAAACCATTACATATTATGTGTAATAAACTAAAACAAGAATTGTCAAAATTAACATGTATTTTGAAAAAAAATAGTAAAAAATACGTTGATGGAAGTACGATGAAAAGATTTTTTTCTTTACGTAGACTTAATGTTCTAGGGAATGAAAAATTGGATATTTTATTATTTACGATCAAATCGTTACTTGATATTGCAGGTAGGCAGAGGTAATATGATGATAGTGATGCAAAAAACACGCAAAAATAAACATGTATGTGTTAACCATTTCAACACATTATGTGTATATATGTATGTATAATAGGTATAAACACGTCTACTTATTATTTTATTTCGATAACAGATATTAAATATATTTATAATACGTGTAATATAATAAAAAATTACTCTGTATAGGAATATTATGTATATTTGTATACATACATACACATACATAAAATATATTATATAATTTTTGATTTTGGATATAAGTTTAATATTAAAACAAAACAAAAAAAAAAAAGATGTACAGATAATAATATACGTATATATATATATATATGTATAATATTATTATTATTATTATTAATATATGATACAATGCAAATTATTTGGTAAACAACATAGTGAGACTATTACAATCGTCCGACAAAACATAATGTCCAGGAAGTCGCGCGTATAAAATAACATTATAGGCGATCTCTCGTTGGGCATATATTTAACGGACCAAACTACGCTACATGTATATATTGGTATTATTATAGGTGTACACATATACATACACTATGTACACACTATTATGTTAAGAGGGTGAAAACGGATAAAAAAAAAAACACATCAAACTTTATACTACAAAGGTTAACGGTAATAATCAAAATACGATGGGAATATTGGTTCGGTGGATGATCGTCGTTAATTTTTTTCTACAATACAAGCACAACGAGTCATATTATCATACATGCGAACTGAGCAGGTAATGATTTAATATGGTTCGGTTCAATGATGTATTATATTGTACCAATATGTATCTCGAACGTATGTATATCCGGATATGTAGATATTATTATTATAATTTTTGAACATTTGTCGTTACATTATTATTGTAATTGTACGGCGTACTCCACCGAACCAATGTGATTGCATCATGTTTTGTACAAAAAAAAAAAAAAATGTTAAATAAATATGTTCGTTCTCTAATAGATTACAGCTATATACTAAACTAAATTAAAATGAATAATGATTATAGCGAAATAATAATAATAGTAATAATATTAATAACAAGGGAGGGGAAGGGGTAGACGTTACGTATTACAGGCTTTTGATAAAACCACATTACATGGGCAATAATTAATAGATACAAGATAAACTTTTTAAAATTATTAAAACATTATACGTTTAACGTATAACTATTGGAAATAATACTAAATGTATAATCCTACAACAGTAATAAAACGTGCAGA